CCTGCCCACTGCCAGCCTTTCCTACCTACTGTCCTCGACCTGCACACTGCCAGCCTTTCCTACCTACTGTCCTTGGCATTTAGTGTCCACTGCAGTTTCCTTTGCTAAGTACATCTGAAGGAGAAAAGGAAAATAGCAAGCTTTCACATTATGATTAACACGCTTACTTAGGAAACATAGGTCACATAGAAATAAACTCTGTCTTGCCAGGTGGTGGTGGTGCACGCCTTTAATCCCAGCGTTTGGGAAGCAGAGACAGGCGGATCTCTGTGAGATCCAGTCTGGTCTATAGAGCGAGTTCCAGGACAGCCAGGGCTACATAGAGAAACCCTGCTTGAAAAACCAAAAAATAAGTAAATGAATAAAAACACCAACAAACCAAACAAACAAAACAAAAACTCAAAATAAAACAAAACAAAAACTGTCTCTTTTCTGAGTCAACAGAGCTGAAACTGAACTACTGACTTCTGCTTTGGTAAACCTTTCCCCGTGTTTCTGAAAAAGGTATACATCTGCTTTCCACCAATACCCACTCAGACAGCAAGTTCTGTTTGCTAAAGATAACTGTCTTTGCCAGAAACCTGCAATTTTCAGTTTCTGTAAACTTGCTTTCCTCTAAGAAAAGCCTCCTTTGGTATAAGAAGAAAAAGATCACCGTAAGATAGTCATAAGACTGTGAAAATGCCTAACCCTATATATGAAAAACTTCTGCAGGAGCCTGGGCCTCTTTAAGCTACGGCTGGAGATTACAGCTGCACTGAGAATTTCTTGTCGGGGAATGTTGAGGACCGCCCCCCTTCCCGCGCACTTCCGTGCCCGACACCCATCTAAAGTGTTCTGACAGTCCAGACTTCCACTGAAATGCTATGTCAGAAGAGAGCCTCCAAGACAACACTAATCGGATTAAGTGTCTTCTGTTACTCTGCACTTTATTGCTCCTCGTTAGTTTCCCTTAGAGCGCGCTTAGCAATCCTTGGACACTTTATCTGGTTATTTTTGTCCAACGGGAAAAGTGACTCCGGGAAAGCGGGGCCACATGTGATTGCTTAGTTCTCAATCCCCAGTACCTAGGACCAGGCTCGGCTCAGCTGAGAAAGTCCTAAGTCTTAACGATGAGCTCTACGTCCTGTGGATCACTCGAACTGCCGTCTGGCCGCTCTGCCCGCCTTCACAATTCCTTGCACAGAAAGCACATCACAGCTCCCCGCGGCTTCCGGGGCCTGCGCGCAGTTCTGCTCCGGCGGCCAGGGAAAGCGACAAGTCCGAGGTCCTACCATCCCAGGAACCCACTCACCTTCTTCTTCTCCAGTCCTCCCATAGCTCCACGTTGAGAAACCTCCGAAGGCCGCGCGGACAGGCAGAACCACTTCCTCCCGCACGTGCCCTGCCTGGGACCCCGAAGGACCCCACGCCGCCAGCTCAGGGTTGCCCAAAAATATGCCTGTGCGGCTGCAGAGAAAGTTGGGCAGTTGACTTCTTTATTTACGACCAAACTTTATAAAACTCAATCATTGGGGTCGTCCTTTCTATACTTTTCTTATTTGCCAACCCTATATAGACGAGCTTTAAACCAGCGTGAAAACTTAGGCAGTCTTATAACCACCCTAAAGACGGTTGCTTGACAACGCAAGCCCCATTGCATTTCGGGATAGAGCACGACAGAAAGCTGGAGGACCGCCCGGCGCTTTCGGGGTTGCAGAAGGAACCGCGTTCTTCTGGCGAAAGCAGGGTTGAATTGTCGTGGCAACGGTTGCTAGGCGTGGTAAAACCGGGCTGGCCAGGCTTTGCCTTGTTGGTCGTAGGTTCAGCCGCTCCTAGTTCGTTTGCTCATGTCAGGATAAAATAGCGCAAAGGCCTGCCTTTCACCTCACAGGGCGGAGAGATCTGAGGAGCCACTTAAATTTGGAGGAATGTGTTAAAGCAGAAGCAGGCGGATCTCTATGAGTTCGAGACCAGCCGGATCTACGTTGTGAGTTCCAGGACAGCAAGGGCTACACAATGTGACTTTATCTAAAAACAAAAACAAACAAAAAAGAAAGAAAAATAATGGAAGGCAGAACATGACGGTGGAAGCCTGTACTCCTAGCACCCGGGAGTCTGAGGCTGGGAAATCACAAGTTCCAGGCCAGCCTGGGCTAGAGATACTGTCTCAAAACAACAAAACCAAATAAAGAAAACAGACCGGCTAGAGAGATGACCAGTGGACAGAATTCCCGACATGCAAGCATAAGGACCCGCGTTCAGATTCGCAACACACACACACACAAAATTGTAGTGACAGCCCAGCAGTGGTGACACACACCTTGAATCCCAGCACTCAGGAGGCAGAGGCCGGTGAATCTCTTCAGTTCGAGGGCAGCCTGGTCTTCTGAGCGAGTTCCAGGACAGGCAGAGCTACGAAAACTCTGTCTCGGAAAACAACAAAAGACAAAACAGCAACAAAATGTTGCAGTGACAGTGGGGGCCTGGAGGGAGGCAGTGGCGGGAAGGAGTGGGGAATCACTAACTGGACATGCGATAACTGGACATCGGATCTCTTAAACTTACAGGCCAGTCAGCCTAGCATAACAAAATCTAGTAGCTCTAAGTTTAGCGAGGAAGTCTGTTTTCAAAAAAGAAAAAACATCAGTCAGGCAGTGATGGCACCAGGCCTTTAATCTCAGCACTTGTTAGGCAGAGCCAGGTGGAGCTCTGTGAGTTCGAGGCCAGCCTGGTTGACAGAATGAGTTCCAGGACAGGCAGAACTACACCAAGAAACCCTGTCTGGGAAAAAACAAAAAAAACAAAAACAAAAATTCAACAATAAGACACACTTGAACTTAAGGTACACACCCCCAGATGAACATTGTTAAGTGTTAAAGCTCTGAGGGGAAGGGTATCCTAGCAGTCAGGAGCCAAGGAATACCACCAAGTCACACCACACAACCAACCTCACAGAACAGATGTATTGGGAAAGACACAAGAGGGTGGACACCTCTGCTTGGGAGAGAAGCAGCAAAGCACTGAGCAGGAGGCAGGTTATCTAGGGTTTCTTGGAGGGGAGGCAGAACTTTCTAGGGTGGCCTGGAATTGGTGGGATTCTGTAGCCTGATCTTGTTTTTTTTTTTTCTCTGTAGGTGGAGCTTGGCCACTTGCCTCCTTAAGGGCTGTTAGAATAAGCTAGGGGCCAGTGCCTGGCTGCTCACACCTCAAGGGGCTTACAAACACTACACAGGTTTATCACACACACACCTAAAGTTAAGCAGAGTTAGATAATTCATGAAATATTTAAAAAATTTTTATTTATTTTTGTTTTTTGAGACAGGGTTTCTCTTTGTAGTTTTGGAGCCTATCCTGGAACTCACTTTGTAGACCAGTCTGGCCTCGGACTCACAGAGATCCGCCTGCCTCTGCCTCCCAAGGGCTGGGATTAAAGGTGTGTGCAACCACTGCCTGGCCCAATGAATATTTTTAAATGTATATTTAACACATCTGAGCTTAAATAAAAGCTAAACAAAGAAGTTCCATGTTGGGATTAAGGACATGGCTCCGTAAGACAAATCATTTGCAGGCAATCATGAAGACTCATTTGGATCATCAGAGCCCATGTAAAGCTGAATCTATAATTCTAGAACTCCTATGATAGATGGGAGTCAGACGCTGGACTATGTCAGTGAACAAGAAACTGCTTCAAGCAGTGGAAAGTGAGAATAAATACCTAAGTTGTCATCTGGCCTCCACACTCATCCCATGGCACATGAATGCCTGCACTTGTGGGAGCCCATTCTCGGGTTCCTCGTGGCTTTACCCAGCAGGTCCGAATAGAGGATGATCAGGACCACGGGCCTGAGTGCAGGTGTCTGAGATGCTCTGCACTTGGCTGTGCTGGGGGAGGAGGTCTTTTGCTCCACCCCTTGGCGTCTCTATAAAAACCCTGGACCAGAGACAGTCTGGGCCCATTGGAATAGGTTCCAGGCCCTCTTGAGGCTATCCTTTATTTTCTATCTGTTTATCTCCGCGATATTCTCTGCAATAAAGGATAGCCTCGGGTGGTGGGTAAACGCCCCACATGCACTCACAGGAGTATGCACACACATGCACACACTGCACAGACACAGTACACACAGACATATAAAAAAGACAATTTCCATGTTGTTTTCCTTAAGGAGCAATCACAAGATTCATATGTTCACACCTGCTTTAGGTGGTTATGTGTGTGCAATGGCAGAAATATAGACGTGTCTTTTCACAGTGGAAAAAAAATGTATTTAATAACCAATAAACTCACAAGTATTTCAGCTTCTTTGGCTAAAATTTATCAAACTGATTCCAATTTTGTTTGCTAGCTGGCCACTGGCAATCACCAAGAAAAACTACAAGACAGACGATGTATATGCTGTTCCCTCTGCATGGGAACAGCTCTGAGACTGGGTGAGACACGATAATCTTGTTGGCTACAGAGTCCTCGTGACAGTTTGGTAATGCAGCCCAAACAGACTTATAAAGTTGACAGATGCCTTTTACCTCAAACACAGAGGAGAAAATCATCTTTAACTGACTTGTGCACATTACACATTCCATGCTTGTGTTAATGCATAAATGTACACTACCTTTAAAAGTTTGTGTGTTTTCAAAACAAAAGGACCAGACACCAATGAAGACAAGTAGCCCAAGTGATCCAGCCTCTCAGAATGCCACTGTTACAGTTTCCTCAAAACTCTGCATCTAGAACAACTTCAAAGTGATTAGCTGAGATGATCCAGCCTCACAGACTACGGAGTCATCCAGGACTTCAGATAAGACCTGCACTTTTCCATCACACAGAGACTGGACAACAAATGATATAGCTAGTTCTCTGTTATCCTAATTTTCTCCGAGTTCTCTAAAGATGCCATTGTCCCCCCAGATGTAGCAGGCTGTTTATCTTTTTATTAGACTAATCAGGTGCCTTAAGCAGGCAAGGTAAAACAGTGACACATCTTTACAGAGTTAAACAAATGCAGCATAAACAAATACAACATACCTTTATGTAGTTAAAGTAATTTTTTGCAAGATAAACAAATGCAACACCTCTTTATATAGTTAAAGTAATAGTCCACAACACCCAGATAGCAGGAAGCAATTTTAAGAACATGACACCCACATTCCCAAGAGGTGGGGTGGGTGGTTTTTGGTCATTCAGTGGGTTATGTATATTTTATCATCATTTAGGGGGCTTAGTTGCAAGTTGTTATTGGTCAAGGTCAGGGAGGAAACTATACAAATTTCTTCTTTCTTTTCTTTCTTTCTCTCTCTTCCTCTCTCTCTCTCTCTCTCTCTCTCTCTCTCTCTCTCTTTGTCTCTGTTTCTTTCTTTCCCTTTCTTCTATCCTTCTTTCTTTCCTATCTAGTGAAAAAAGGGTCAGGGGATATAGTAATGATAGGATAAAAGGGTAGATTATTGAATCTACTTTTAAACTAAAAAGCAATTACTAGTCTCAAATATTTTACATTGGTATGAATTTATGTATATTGATACAAATTTAAGGTTATTTTTATTACAACATACTGTATATATGTTTCTATTCTTATTTAAGGTATTATACCTATGTAGCTCATTTTTAAATGTAATGTTAAGTTCTAGTTCTTAAAAGCTATTATTACTAACAGTTTAGGATAATTTAGAAATACAGGTTAGCTGTTAGTCATCTATAACAATGAAACTTGTAGTCATGTTAAGTATGTTTTAAACAGAGATATATATTTTAGATAGATAAGTGGTCTTCAAACATTTCAGAGATCTACAGACTATGACATTTAAGATGTTTTAATAACATGGCTTTTCATGACAGTGTGATATGTCTGTTCTTGGCAGCACCAATCTACTTCAGAGATGATGAACATTTCAGAATCTCCATATGGGGTTTGCTTTAAATGTAGCAAAGGAGCCACTGGGCAAGAAACTGCTCTTGCCTCGACTGCTGACAATATGCTGTCCAAATTGGACAAGCAGGACACAAAGGAAGTTGACTGTTGAACTTTGCCAAGAGAAGGTAGGCCAGTCCTTCAAAATTCCCCAGAAAAGTCTGTCAGATATTCTAGGCCTGTAGGCTGAAGATGGGTGCTCCAACAGGGGAACCTTGAGTGACTGTCCAGGCAGCCAGCTGTCTCTGTCATTTCCACAGTTTTGGAAGTTGCTTGCTCTGCACTTTCTGTTTATTCAGGTAATACTTTATCCTTCTCTGATCTCTGATGGAGCTGAAGACTAAATAGTCATAATTTTACAGTTTACCTTGTTACTGTATTCAAAAAAGAAACTCACAAAAGAGATTTAAAATTTATAAAGGTTGAGAGACATAAAAGCTTAAGTTGTTATCTGAGAAAATGTCTTAAGCTATAAAAAGATATTTTAGGTTGTAATATAAGTTATGATAGAAATATAAGTTGGTAATATAAGTTATGATAGATTTAGGTACAAAACTTTGGACT